TGAAAAAAAAAAAAAAAAAAAAAAAAAACTCGCTAGATGCTCCTGCGATGGGTCTCACATGGCTTTTCAGCATATGTCCTTGGTAAGAGGTGTAACCTGTCATAAATTGTTTATGATGGATGGAAATTGGAAGGTCTCTTTTCCTCTCTCAAGGGCTCGCCTTTGATTGTTTTACTGAATTAAAACAATGGTTTTGATGCATAATAATTCCTTCTAAATTTATTTGGTTTAGGGATGAATCACTATTAACGCAAGGATTAGCTCTGAACGATGATTTGCAACGTTTATTGGCCAAGCACGAAGAAATTGCTTCTGGAAACAACACAGTTCAATCTGACAAACCAAAACCCAATACTGTTCAAGCCCTGGTTCCTGTTGCTGCTCCTCTTATTGACACTGGAGATAGCAAACAATCGGCCAAAGGGTAAAATTTGAATTTGCTATTGAATGAATCAGATTATTGTTTGCATTGTACTTTGTGTTCAGTAGTGTTTGTAGTTTAGTTGCTTGTATATTTTGTGAGTTTCAGTGTTGCTTAAAATTGCTCAAGTTTTTTCCACAGGTTTTGCTTGTGTAACCCTGAGACAGTAGGAATAATTTGAAGTGAATGTGTTAGTGTAGACAACATGAATTTGTTAAGTTTTTTATTTTTCGCTAATAACTTTAATGTATATGAACAAAGAACACGGGGTAAATTGTTCAGTAAGAACCTCTCACCGATGACACACCATCCACCCAAAAAGAAAACAAATTCCAATACTATAAAAAATGAAAACCTCCTAGCCTGTTCACAATTTTATGCAGCCAAAATCTCCTTGTTCCCGTATCAATAATGGCTTTTTTACCCAATAGAAATAGAATATTTCATGCTCCAGACCATAGTTTTCACTTTTGAGGTTGAGCATTTGGTAGACCTCATCAAGGCATTATTTAAGACTCTTATCACAATTATATCTGCTAGTGTATTTTCCACTTCTCTATCTAAATTGTTGGCAATGCCCAACTTTTCATTTTCAGATCTACATCCAATCTGGGGTTAGGTACACAATTATCGCTTTCTGCTCCGCCTGCTACTCATAATCAATCAGCAACTCCATTGATGACAGTTCCTAAGATAGACCTTTTGAGTGGAGACGACTTTGGCTCACCTGCACCAGTAAACTCGCTGGCAATTGTTCCAGTCGGAGAGCCTCAACCTGCCACTCCTGTTGCATCACAGCAGAATGCCCTTGCTCTTGTTGACATTTTTGGACAAAGTAACAATAGTCAGTCTTCAAATTCTGTTGGACAAGCGTATACTTCGTCACCCCAATTTCAGCAACAACAGAATTTTCAATCCCCAGCATCCCCATTATACCCTAATGGACGAGCTTCTGGCACAATATCATCCCAATATGAACAGTCGCTTCACTCACAAGGCCCAACTTTTGCGTTGAATGGTCCTAATCCCATAACTCAGCAACAGCAGCCACCTTCACCAGTTTATGGTGCATCTCTTCTTTATCCTTTAATTTATTATTTTGAAACTTGATCGGTTTTGTTGTTCAGTGATGGATCGTTGGGTCCTCAACATATTGTCCTAGTATTCAGTTTGTTAGCAACCTTTAAAAAGGATCTAAGTTAGGAACCAACTTTACAATATAGTTGCACAATCAGTCCCAGTGAAGTATAGTTGCACAATCAATCCCAGTGACAAAAACTAAATTTTTTTTTTTTTCTTGTTAATAGGTAATCAAATGTTTTTTTAATTATGAATAATACACAGGCAGTGTATTAGGCAACCCATTTATACGAGTAGAAGCCATTGCATTAAACCAAGTATACAATGTCAAATTCACGGTACTGCATTGCCCTCATAGAAGCATGTCTTACTTAAAACCAACTCAAGTTTGAAAAGTGAAATCTAGCTTTATAAACTTGGACGTTTGATGCTCGCTTGATTGTTTAACAAAGATTTGGACAGTTTTCGTGATTGGGAATTATAGCTAGGTCTTCTTTAGCGTAAGCCATCCTTTTTCTTTTGC